GGGGGGAATGTGGGTGGGCGAGGGTGTGCAGGGTGGAGGGGAATGAAGGGGGCAAATGGGACAACTATAATAGCATAATCAATAAAATATATTTCTAAAAAAGAAACAAGCCTTAAAACTTACACCCTGGCTGGTGTGGCTCAGTGGATTGAGCACCAGCCTGTAAACCAAAGGGTCTCTGCATCGATTCCCTCTCAGGGCATGTTCCTGGCTTTCGGGCCAGGGCCCCAGTAGGTGGTGTGCAAGAGGCAACCACACATTGATGTTTCTCTCTTTCTCTTTCCCTACCCCTCTAAAAATAAATATAAATACAATATTTTTAAAACATTGCTGTTATTAACAGTTTTACACCAAATGAAAGCAAGGTATAGTCAAATTAAGCTGACCGCCATGCCCCCTGGTGTCAGGAAGTTTTCATTGCAGTTTGGAAACAAACGACTTAGAGGTGATTTCTATCAGGCTGTGGCAAGAACAGGCAGTTTTCTATGATCGTTGACCTTTGGTGCTGGAACTGTGTAGGTCACACACATGATTATCCTCCACGGTTTGCGTCTTAGTAAGAAGTTTTACGAAGGCTCATCTTTTGTTCTTTCGGTTACTGGTTCAGTAAGCGCCCTTTCTTTCCTCGGCCCCTTCCCAGCCAAGGGCTGCAGGCGACGCGTTTCCCTCACTTGGCTGGAAGGTGGCTGATTGGAGGGGCCTTTGGGGCATCTGAAGCCTCTGGCACTAGGCCGGTGGTTTAGACTTCCACCTGGCGGTTGAGGGTCCTGGAGCAGTTCTGCCACCCTCCCGCCCCGGCCCAGGGAAAGCTGGAGCACAGCTCCGCCACCAAGCACGAAGGCCCCCGAGTGCGTGAGGGGCCGTGCGGGGCAGTCAGGGCAAAGGAGATTCCCTCCCCAGATAGCCACCCTCTGTGCCACGAGCACAGAAAAATAAAAACAACTTGGGGCCATGCTCCTGTCTTAGTCTGCGCGGGCTGCCACAGCAAAATACCACAGATCGGGGGCTCAACCAACATTCGTTTTCTCACTGTTGCGGAGGCTGTGAGCTGGAGGTCCAGCAAGTGTGCTGGGGGAGCGGGGACGTCTCTTCTTAGGAGGCCACAGTCCTTCGGGTCAGAGCCCCGACCTGTGACCTCATTTGACCTTAATCACCTCCTCATAGACCCTGTGTCCACAGAGAGTCCTGTTGAGGGTTAGGGCTTCCACATGTGAATCTGAGGGGAACACAGTTCAGTCCATAGCAGTTCCGTGCTGTTTCTCATAAAACACGTAATGGGCTGTCTATGTCACAAAGCGATTTACTTCCTTGTTTGGTTTCCTGGGGTTTTTATCGCCCTCACTAAATTGGGAACAGAAGGAAACTGTTCAGTTCCCACCCGCTCTTCTGAGTGCCCCCAACAGACAGTGGCCCTGAGCTGCGCTCCTGGTGCCCAAGGCCTCCTGCCCGAGGCCAGGTGAAAAGCCTCGGTTCCTGGGGGAACGGAGGTGCACGTCTGAGATGCTCTGGAACAGCCCGCTGGAAGTGAACTCGTTGTAGTTGAAGACAGTGAATGTCTAATGACTGTAATTAGGCCAGTGACAGCGCACTGGGGGGGGGGACAGACGCGCCACTCGGGGAGATGCGGGCAGCGCTGGACCGGTAGCTGATGGAGGGAAAGGGACACTTTGCACACGGGAAAGTGAAGCCCAGACGCATGAGCTTGTCATGGCCTCACGCACAGCTGGCACTGGCAGTGGTGACCAAGGTAGCAGGAAACTTATTTTTTGTAAGGTAGGCTTTTACTTACACATATCGTAAAAATATATAGCCTTAAAGAAATAAAGCTTGTATTGTGATTGGGTTTTTGTTTGTTTGTTTGTTTGTTTTAAAGATTTTATTTATCTATTTTTAGAGAGGGGAAGGGAGGGAGAAAGAGAGGGAGAGAAACATCAATGTGCGGTTGCCTCTCTGGCACCGCCCACTTGGGACCAAAACCCAGGCATGTGTCCTGACTGGGAATCGAACTGGCAGCCCTTTGGTTCCCAGGCCAGCACTCAGTCCACTGAGCCACACCAGGTGATTGTTTTTCATAACAGCATCTCAAGACACGTGCTTGGTTATCACGGTCCGTAACATATGGTGTGCAGGTTGTCTCCTTACTCCTGGTCATCGGAGCGGTTCCATTTTTCACAACTACAAAGTGTGGTCGTGCGTGTCCTATGAAGGCAGCGTGCATGGGGCCAGTATTCCTGTGGGGCAAATTCTCAGGGCAGGAGTTTGGAGATCAAAGGACATGCGCTTTTCCCACACTGGTCAGCGTTCTACACTGCCCTCCAGAAAAGCCTGCATCAGAACACACCCTGGGAAGAGAAATAGGAACAGCCTTGGGAATTCTCTCCACTACTTAGAGCTCTTATTTTGAGAACAGTAAGCTCCCTGGGTCGGGGCGTGTGTGCGTGTGTGTGTTGGGTGTGCTCCCTGGTCTGTGGTGGGATCTCGAGGGCTTGCTGTCACATGAGTAAAAGAATGAAGGGAAGACCGCCAGCCCCGCAGCAGCCCAGCGTCACAAGTGTACACACCCATGAACACCCCCCACACACCCTCCACTGAGCCGCCTGCCCCAACCTTGCCTGCTCCTTCCCTAATTCAACTGAAGCTGCAGGCATTACAGTGAAATGGAAGGGTGGATGTGGCCTCTCCACCCCCGGGCGTCCGGCCATGCTGGGGGCCCTGTGGGAGGGACTAGGAGCTGTGTACCCCTATCGGCCCACTCCTGAGCCCTGGCCTGGATGCAGGAAGGAGCTTCTGAGTTGGCCTGGAACAGGTGCAGACGTGGGCGTGCCATCAGAACGCAGAGCAGGGTCCAGCAGAGGGAAGGGTCGTGAAGGTGGGTTTGGAAGGGTGTCAGGCAAGGCTCCAGGCTTTACCTGTGGGTGCCAGAAAGGTGCTGCCATCTTTAAACAAAAGACTGGTGTGAGGCACACACCACTGGGAGGTGGCTGGCCTGCAGTTATGCTCCACGGATCGGAGGGGAAGAGGGTTTTCATCCACAGGTGGCAGAGGCTAGAGAGGGGAGGCGCAGCAGGGCCCGGGAATGGCATTAAGGGAAGGGGGCGGGTGGAGGGTTAATTGTGAAGGCAGATCAGGAGGAGAACACAGAGGGGCCAGGGGTGGGGGAGGGAGGGTAAGGGCCTGTGCAGTTCCCGTGCGGGTGAACGGGAGCAGACTTATGTCCGAGAAGCTGCCTCCTGGAGTCTGCAAGGACCAGAAGGAGTCTGCACAGCCCGTGGGCACTGTCCCAGCTGAGAGGACTTGTCCCTGGCGGACAAGGCCCACCCTAAACCCTGGAACCATCCCCAGGGGGTCCAGAGCTGCTTAAGTCCCCCTGAGGTTTCCCCAGACCGTGACCATGTGCGAGGTGGGAACGTGGCGGCTCTGGCGCAGACGGCACACTGTGAGTGCTCTGCCTGGCTGCCACCCTGCTCACGGCAGCCCCTGTCCTGGGTGGGCACAGCTGCTCCTTCAGAGAGCAGGTCTCGGGCACCCAGGTTGCCGGGACTGGGAGTCATCAACTCTGCCCTGGGTGCCTGACAAGTGTCTGAGTTGCCCTTTGTCTCCCAGTGCCACCCCTGTGTGCCATTCTGTCACCTTCCTGTCCTGCAGGCGGACACCTCCCCTCATCACTCATGTCTGCCTTCTGAGAACACAGGCCTGTGGGTGTCCATATGAGCACAGAGTGTTGCCCCCATGAGGCCGGTGTTTGCGTCCCAGCTGCTCTCGGACTGAGGGGTGGAGCAGTACTGGCCTCTTGGTGTCTCCATGTCACATGCGGAGGCAGCCCTCAAAAAAGTCTGTGAATTCTTTTGCCCAACGCTGTCCACTGAGACACAAACACTGTGCCAGCTCCTTGGAACACGGGGAAGAAAGAGCTGAGGCAAGGGGGGTCCTGGTGGGCTGGATGGGGTGGAGGGCCAGCAGGAGGGCTCAGCCTGTAAAGGAAAATTGCAGAGAGGAAGTTGAAGAGGCTCGCGCTGCACTGCCCGATAGCGGCGGCACGGTCTCTGGCGCAGTCAGGAGGGTCTGAGCCCTGAGGGTCACGTGGAAGGAGAGAAAGCTATGAACCACCGGCTTGGAAGCCAACTCCAGAGCCTGAGCCGGGGTGGAAACAATAGCCCAGCTCTCGTGGGCCGCAAACAGGACTTGCCACAGAGCAGACCGCCTGAGAAGAGCCATTTTCAGTGGTGTTTTCCACTGGCGGAGGGGGAGCACGTTCTGTGGACAAGCATCCCAGGTCACATGTGCTCAGTAGGTCTCTGCAGACGGAGCCCCTGAGCATCCAGCCGGGGTGCTGAGCCTCTTCCCATTCGCTGCATCCGCCCAGGATGTCTCGGACCATCCTCAGCTCCAGGCCTGACTGGGTCTTCCCCTTGTTCAGTGTGTAGCAACTTCGGCTGTGCTGAGATGCCACATTAGTCCTCCAGAGCCCCATGGGATGGCCCCTGGTGGCCAGTTTCCTGCTAGGGAAGCACCTTCATGTCATGGGTGAGACACTGAGGCCCAGGACTGACCCCTCTGTATCTCTCCTGTCTCCTCTTTATGGTTCTCCAGGAAATGGGCAAGACAGGCCGTCAGTCCCAGGGCGGCCCCTCTGACACTCTGGTGCTATCTTTTCAGACCAGGGGAAGCTGGCAGAGGACTGCCCTCCACCCCACCCCACCCCCCACCCCACCAGTATTGACTGCTTCAGCTGCTGGCCAACCCGGCAATGGCAACTCAGGTGCATTTCATTAAGTTTTGGGGACAGCAGAAAAAAGGACAGCGTGACCTGCCGTGGAGTGCAGGCATTGACGTTTTTACTGCGTCCCCAGAAAACCCAGAACTGGCAGCCGGTGGCTCTCCCTGAGCTGTGCTGGGGACACCTCACAGACTCCTGCTTGTGAGCTGAGAATTGGAATGGGCCAAGGTGCCGCTCATTTTCCCAACTCTTTATTTTATTTTATTTTTATTTTTTATTTTAGAGAGAGAGGAAGGGGGAGAAAGGGAAAGAAATATCAACGCAAGAGAGAAACATCGATTGTTCACCTTCCACACGCGCCCCAACTGGGGACCCAACCCACAACCAAGTCCTGTGCCCTGACCAAGAACCGATCTGCTTGGCCGATGCCCAGCCAACTGAGCCACACCAGCTGAGGTCCAACTCTTTTTTAATATTAATTTTACAGCAAAATAATGAATTGTCTCTTCCAGGACTTGTTACAAATTCTCCCATTAAAATTTTTGACCTTAGTTTGATATTGTTCACCAGTTTCGTTTCTGGCAATAGTTGACAGTGGGGGCGCAGAGTCGCAGCTGCTCAGTCATACAGGTCGTGATCCCATCCCCGCCCTTGTCAGACACTGCCTGCCTTTGTATTATTTCATACAGTTTGGGTTCAAGTCTGTCGTGGGCTCGGATTTTTACTGGGGACTGGTGTTGCACCTTTTTCTTTTTTGCTGCTAATACAGATTATACCATTTTCAGTTGAAATGTCATTCAAGTCCATGATGGCACTCTCAGAAGACGGTGGTGCCTTCGCCTTTGGCTCTCGTGCGCCCTCTTGTGGCCATGGTGTGACTACAGATGGTGTTTGGATTGGCTACAGACTTCAAGCTGGGCCTACTTGGAAAGTTTTAATTTGAGGAAACGCCCGTAGGTCAAATTTTGCACATAAAGTTGCATTTCACTAACATTTTGTATTGCACTATTCAAAAATGCTTAAAATGTGGCCCCACGACAGCAATCAAGCTGTAAAATTTACAGGAGCACAAAGGAGTTGTCCCGGCACTCCCGGTGCCTTCCCTGTGGGCACGGACTCTCCCTGCAACAGGAGGGGACGCTGGGGCTTGGTGACTTTCTGACTGGCAGAGAGCCGTGCTGGGGACTGCTCCTCAGCACGGCTTCCCAAAATGGCAGTTTTCTAGAACCTATTATTATTAAAAATGCAAATACCTTTCCCCCCACCAATTCCCCTGTCCAGGGATTTTTCTACAAATACTTAGATATGAACGCAAATGATGCATTTCTTCCACTTTTTTTTTCAAACTGAAAGCAGACACTTGTCATTTGGGGACTGTGTAAACCAGCGATTGCTCAGCAGGGCATTCAAGTAAGTACTGCATACCTGTTAAAAAGACTGATGGGGCTTTTCTCTATGATGTTAATGTTAAGAGTAGGAAGGGTGACATCTTGTATATATTTTTTTAAACTGTAGGGGAGGGGCTTTTATCCAGATATCTGGAATAAACACAGGTCACAGCCATGGCCTCTGGGGAGGAAACCAGGGACCTAAGGGTTGACGGGAGTCAGTCTCTCCTCTCTCCTTCAGCGGTTTGCATTTTGAAAATCCTAAGAAGATGGTGTGAGGAGGGAAGCAGGAACTTTTGAGACCCTGAGCACTTCCCTCAGCCAGTCCTGCTCATTGTCCCCCCTCCAACCAGAAGCCTGGAGGTGGGTGATCAGGGGTCTAACCTGAGAGGGGAACTGGAGACCGCAGCATGGAGGTGATCAGGATGGGGTCCGGTGAGAAGTCCAGCCTCTGTGTCCCAACGCCACCACCAGAGGTCGCTGTGGCCCGCACATCCTGCAGAGAGCACAGACGGAGGTGGAGACGCAAGCCCTCCAGGTCTCCACCTGTGACTATGGGGTCTCTGCAGGAAACGGAGACCTTGGTCATTACTGTTGTCATACTTCAAGGTGTCCCTTGAAATGTGTCTGATGACTTCCACCCCAGACCCAGTCCCCTTCCCTCAAGTTATATTTACATATAATTTGCATGGTCCGCTTTGTTTGAATTTAACTCGTCATATTTGGGTATTGTTCGCATGTCATTTGCATGGCTTTTCATAGACTAGTCTTGATTTGTGAACCATTTTGGTGGGAGACAGAGACTAGGGACCCAGGTCCTGGGGCTTCCTCTGGGATGTGGGTGGACACTCTCACCTCCCCATTCCATAAAATCTCACCTCCACTTGCCTGGTCAGGAGCCCTAGGAAGGCATTCCCTGTCCTTTTAGGGCCTTGCAGGTTCGCTGAGGCAGAGGCCACCCAAACCCTAGCAAGGTTCCAAGGAGTGGGCCACAAGACCAACCAGGAGTCCTCCAGGCATAGAGTCTCCCCTCAGGGCAAGGGCCAGGGCCTCTCAGATGGCTAAATGCCCACGTGTCTGGGCAGGGAGGCTGCTAATATTCTCTCTGATCCACTCACTTTAACCTCACTCCTCTTACTGGAGAAAAATTGTAATGTTCATCATACGAAGTAATTAGCAAAGTATCGGTTGATTGGCAATTTTTTTAAAAGGCTGGGCTCTGGGTTAGAGTTTTTCAAGTGGTAGCTGAATACCTGGAGGGTGTGGTCCTGGTGGGGTGGTCGCCCTGCCTGAGCCTGGACCCTGCACACCCATCGCTTGGGGCCGGCTGAGACGGGGCGCTGGCTGTTAGACCCCCAGGGCTTCTTATTTTGGAATATCGAGAATCTTGAAAGGGGGATAGGACTTTCCATCTCAAAACACATGTCCAAATCTGTGGGAGCCAGAGGTTGGGGAGCCAGAGGACCTGAATTTTAAGTAAATTACAGGCACAGGGACATCTTGTACCCATTGTGCTGATGTGGACACCATGACAGGAACACAGGAGGCCAGTCGTCTGACTGAGACCCACAACCTTGAAGGGGCTCCTGCTGGCCCATGGTGGCACCAGTTGATTCGAGAACCACCAGCAGGCACCAAAAACAGCGAAGGTACGTTTGAGGAAGGTGCCGGTGCGTTCTCACTCTCCTCCCTCAACCAAAGAGTCAGGGAAACCGAGGCACAGGGGGGGCTCCAGGGGGTGTAGGCCCTCTCCCTCACACTCTGGACTCCACACCCACAACCCTGCCCAACCTGCAGCCCTCACAGGCCCTTTGCGCTTCTTCCAGCTCCCGGCCCTGGTCCAGCTGCCTGGCCAGGGCCTCCTTACACCAGGGACACCTGTCAGGAAGGGCTAGAACCCTTTGTGAGGCCAGAGCCCAAACTCACGTCCTGCCTCTGCATCCCATGTGCTACCCTCCCTGAGCCTTGGTTTCCCACTCTGTGAAGTGGGAATAGAAGCAACTCTGCCTGCAAGGCTCCGTGGGAATCTCATAGGCACACACCCGCAATGCGCCGAGGATGGTGCGCATGCTCAGGACAGTCTGGGGTTATACGGTTCCCATTCTACCCAGGGAGACACCAAGACAAGAGGCCAGGTGTCAGACCAAGGCCAGCCTTGCTCGGGCTGCCACACTTTCTGTGACCCGCTGCAAGGGCCAGAGGGTGAACCAGATCTGCCTCCCTGATGTTCCCCACTGGGCTGCCAAGGGGCAATCAGACAGTGATCCAGGCCTGTTTACTAGCTGGGCCCTGGTTTCCCTTTCCTCTGAATCCAAACCTCCCTCCTCCTCCCCAAACAGGCCCTGCAGGATCCACCTTTAACACCATCTCTCTCTCCACTGGTCCCAACTGTCCCTCTGACAAGTATTTACATTCCTACCCCAGGTCCTTTGCACTGGTCATTTCCTCTGCCTAAGTACCTCTCTTCCCTTCTCTGCCCGACTAACTGCTCTGCCCCTCCGCAGACCCTTCTCTGCTCCCAGCTCACTCCCCAACACTCCCAGCCCTGTCCCCTCCCCAGCTGTAGTCTCCCCCGAGCCACCCCTACTCACTGCCCAGCCAGCAATCCTGGGACCTCAGCTAGGGGCTGGTGCACCTGAGGGGCTGGGGGCATTGTTTCTCTCACCTGGCACCTTGTTCTCTTCTGGACTAGAGGCAACTCCAGCAGCTGCTGGCCTGGCACCTGCTGATCTTGCTCCCGGCCTCTGCTGGCAGCCGGGAAACAGGGAGGGGCCTGGGCTGTGTGTCCCTAGAGACGAGTCTGCCCCTCCCTGGTTCTCAGCCTTTCACTTGCCTGAGGAGGGTTGAAAGGTGGGGAGAGCTGTAGTCTGGGGTTGAAGGTCTGTGATCTCAGTCATCCCAGGTTGGTTGGTTGTCAAAATTCCCCCAAAGCTTCTGGTTTAAATTCGTGGGGCAGCCCTGGTTGGTGTGGTTCAGTGAATGGAGTGCCAGCCTGTGAACCAGAGGGTTGCCGGTTTGATTCCCTGTCAGGACACGTGCCTGCGTTGTGGGCCAGATCCCCATTAGGGAGTGCACGAGAGGCAACCACACATTGATGTTTCTCTCCCTCTCTTTCTCCTTCCCTTCCCCTCTGTCTAAAAATTTTTTTTTAAATTAATTAATTAGTTAATTCTTGGGGTAGGCAGGCACATGTTCTGGTCTGCCTGGACCCCGCCCCTCACCTGACCCACCACCCCTCTGGGATCTCCCTGCCATACATGACCTTGACTCTGGTCCCTCCCTTCATCTGACATTTGATCCCACCAAGTCCTGGCTCCACCCATTACTAGGGGCTTGGGCTTTGGCTTTGCCTCAGATCCTGGCTCTACCCCTTCTCACCTAAAGCTGCCACACTCTTCCCTGCTGCTTCCACCGGAAATTGGGCTTAGGTCAACGTCAAGATTCATGCAAACCCCTCTCAGGGTTTCCTCCAACCCTCTCCTCACCTCAGTTTCCCATCCCCAAGAATGGCCACAACCTCTCACCCTCCCGGGGCCACTCGTAAGGGTATGATCCTAAAAATGGGAGTTTTTGCACACACCCCCCACCCACCACATGGGAACTTGGAGGCTCCCCATGTCCAAGCCCTACCTAGTAGAAGTTTTCAGATTCCCTGGGCCAATGCATGGAAAGATTTAGAGGTTGCAAAAGTATGTCCAGGCCCAAATTAGGTGGGCTGTGGCAGCTTCAAGTTCTCCCACATGCAGTTTCAAGATCCCCACCTGCAGTTTCAAGGTCCCCCACATCAAATTTCAAGATGGAAATTCCAAGGGCCTCTTCATCAGTGCCTGATGAGGCCCCATACCCAACCCCTAGTAAAGATTCCTGTTCCACTAAGACTCCAGGAGGCGTCTCAAAGTCTGCCACAGCAGAGCCCTGGAGGAAGTCTGGAGGCCCTCAGACCTGGTGGGGAAATCCAGGCCCTGATTTAGGTGTTTTGGGAAGTTTTATTGTGCCTCACTCAACACTACTACAAAGCCCTGGGGAGGCAGTAGCTGAGGGTGGGGAGCTGGAGCTGCCGGGGACACCACAGCTACCATCCCCATTCCTCTCCTGCACGTTACTGAGCGCCTCCTGCGTGTCAGCCAGCATCCACCAGGCCTGAAGAAGATGGGCCACTTCTG